AAGGCGGCAGTGTATTTGTTTCTAAGGCCTTGAGAAATAGCGCCTCGAGTAAAACGCACACAAGAACTGGAACCGAGTGAAATCTACGGGACCATGAGGGAGACCCGAGTCGGACCAGTCGATCGAAAGAGAGTTGGCCAATGTGAATTGCAGGCGTGATGAGACCACACTAAATCTGTCAAAAAGGGCACATATTTTGATGAGTGAAATGTAAATAAGTCAAAAGTTATGATAAGGCGGGAATTGGATAAGAGGGTAAGGAGTGGATAGATGGGTCAGGACAGAATGAGGAGTGATAGTGTAACCGTTTCGGTAGAACGTTAGTCAAGGGATTGACTTCACTTGTCTATTTGACGAGCTTTTAGCTCGGTGCGGAGAATGGAAGCACTCATTGATAATGTCGACTACTATGCCGGCAAAATGTCTGAAAATGTATTAATTCCATGGTCGGATGCTAGCAATTATGATAACTACTATGGCAGAGGACTTCGTATAAGGTGTGTTCAATAAAATCGATCTGACAACAAGACCAAGTTGCGAGAACGAGGTGATTTTAGTCATAAATTAGCAAGATTATCATTTTAAACTTTCAGTCAAGGCTACTTTAATTCGAATATTGTAAATGAAACGATTATTTATGAATAGCTCAACAAGGGAAAATTGATCAATGGCTTTTCCAGCAGATAATTATGCAAGTAAAAAAGAAAAAGAATGGATCAAGTGGTTTGGAAGAACAGTAGCTCAGTGGAATAGATTGCGTTGGGCTCCCACAGCCTAATGAAACAATGATACATTGAGACAAAGATGGAACCCCCTAAAAACCGGATTAAAATGAAATAAAAGGACTAAGTAGCTTTTTTTCAGGATTTCATTCAAATATAAAGAAAATTATTTTAGCTGATTAACAAATTATTCGTAGTTGTGTCAGAAAAGTTATGACTCTTGGACCAGTTTCTAACACAGCTATAGATTAAGGATATCAAAAAAGTAGGTTCGTGCATATAGGCCTTTAAAAGTTAAATCAAACTTTTTGTAAGGAAATTTTCAACTGCAAAGTTATCACTGTAAAATGTTGTGGCACAAAACACTTAACTTTAGATTTGCAGAAGTTGAACACTAAAATGAAGTATTATCAATAAAGAGAAGCTAAGGGCTTCCTGCTAGACAAAAGAACATAAATATAAGTAATTCTTTAATAATAGCTAGGTGAGTAGAATGTTTGAAGTCGAATCCGTGCAGAGCTTGTTCCCAAAAGCCATCACTTATTAGTAATAATACGAGTGACAACCCTCATTGGGGAGAATTTGACCTAAAAAGGAATATATGACGTGGAAAAAATGTAAACGAAGATTTCTTCCAACAATTATGTATCATAAATCCTGCTTTATAAGCCAAAATATTTCTTTCACACAACAATTGAACTTACCTGGTCATAGAGACAGTTAATTGGCCATCCGAGGGGACAGTTGGATGATCCGGATGACAGGATTGGGTGAGATCGAGGTGGGCCATATGCTGGTGGGAAGAATGATGGAGCTGATGAGCGTGCAGCGAATGTGGTACTGCTGATCCGTGACTGTCAATAGCAGAATGAATGCCAGAGTGTGTATGAAGGTGCGTATGGGAGTGCGAATGCGAGTGGTGAAGTTCATGGGGCTGAGTCTGACTGCGCGAGTGAGGCTGCTGGTGTTGATTTAGGTGGTCCTTCTGATCGTGGTTGTTGGCCCCCATTGTTAGCCTAGAGGCATTGCGAGCGTCTTCAGAAAGTCGAGAAGTAGAGCCAGCATCAGCTAAATGGGACGTGCTGCCAAGATTGCCACAGTTACTCGACTAGCGAAAGAGTTATGCAGAAAAGGAGAAGAACGTCAGAATGAAATGTTTGGCAATATTAAGGTAGAAAGTATATTGAGAAGAGAAAAGAAAGAAGCCATTAGATTTAAATCTAATAGAATATTTAAAAATTAAAATATTAAAATGCATTTGAGACACAGCTTTTGCCATAGCACAGCCTTTTACCTACTGGAAAAAAGTAGAGACATCCATAAAGTTCCAGAGCTCCAATCAAAAACTAGCGAGAAGCAACTATGGGTTATACTAATCTATTCACAACAACGTATTGTACAAATGATTGCATCGAGTTAGACTAAGTTTATCAGAAATCGAGCATTGTGACCAAATGGGCTAATAATCCACATGAGATGCAGCAGGCGACCAGAGATAGATGTCCACAGTTTGCTCAGGGTACACAGGCTTAATCGAGGAGATGATACGTGAAAGTAATGCTCAATATCCGCAGGCATGGGAATAAGAGCCTAGGCGCTCTGAAGATAAGGCGACTTTGTACGTGCTACTGAAGGCTTGAGAAATAGCACTTTGAGTAAAAGTACGCCAAGGCTGGAACCGAGTGAAATCGGTCAGCGAGAAAGATAAGAAACGGACCTACGGACCCGAGGCAGATCCGGACAGGATACTAGAGCAAGATCAGCCACTCGAAAGCGAGGGGAGCAAGGCAAACAGTAGGTGCGATTATGCCAGCGTAAATTCGCCAAAAGGGCACAGCTCTCGTGGAATATGAACACGTTAGAAGTTGTGATAGGACGAGGGCGAGATTAGAAGGTATGAAATGGATGAGGGACCAGGACAAAACGAGGAGTAATAGCATAACTGTCTCGATAGAAAGTTGGTCAAGGAATTGAATTCATTTGTCACTTTGACGAGTTGTAGCTTGGTTGTTTAGACTGGCAAGACTTACTGATGATGCCAGCGAAACGTCCACGGTCCGAATCTGGAAATGATCACGCATAATATGTACTCCGGACAAGGTGCGTTCCTCTATGTCTTCCTGCTAATGTAACCAAGTTGCGAAACTAAGGTCAAGCAACTTCCAGGCATTCCTAAAGCGCCAGAGCTCCAATCAAAAATGAGCAAGCAACAATGGGTCAGACTAACCTATCCATAACAAAGTACTGTACAAATGATTGCATTGAGTTAGGCTAAGCTTCTAGGCCATCTTGCATCGTAAACTATTCGTGATCTGAAACCCGATTTTAACTTCTTGAACATAATCCATGAATATAACAAGTGTCTTGTTTAATCGGATAGTAGTTTCATCAAGTGTATGTCAATAGCAAGTGTAGGCTTAAGACAGAGTAACTAAAAGCGGCAATCCAGCGTGCAAGTTTTCTGCAAATGGAAAAACTAGGCGCGTAAAAAAAGTAAAAGAGCATTTTGCCATCCATTTCAAAATTATGATTATTCCCCTACTTTAATTTAAGGGGCAAATAAACAAGTTACACGAATGTTTATATTCAGCTTAATAAAGTTTAGTGAAAAAAATACTCGTATGATTGCGCGAAATAACTTTTTACAGGCCATCTAATTAATTAGAGAACAAGATATACAGATAAGAGACAGAAGTATGCCTAAAGTCATGCAAACATTGAAATGCCATAAACAACTGCAAGATTCTAGGATAGACTGACACTGGACATTTAAGGCTAATAAGCAAAATTAGATCACTGCTTCCACTGTAGCTAAAGCTGATATAATATATGTAGTAAATCACGATAAT